AATAGAGAGAGAGGTCATGATTGTTGAATAGTAGATTCATTCCAATGGATCAGAGACTGACACTGAGTATTATTGTTAAGTTTTAAGAGGATAATATCACATGCAGTCTTTAAATTCTTCCAGCACAGTCAACCCACGTGTATTCACGTGGGTAGATTCTAAGTCCACACGGACCACACCTAAAATATTGTCGGACATGCCCAAATCCTGCTGACTTCAGCTTCCTGACTCGTTCTCAAGCCTCTCATTCTCTTCTTTTCTCATTTTCTTTCGCTCTCTTTTGTTAGGAATAGCTTATCGGGACACTCCAGTGAGTATATAATTAATGTCTTGTACATATTGTGTTAGTAATGTACTGATACAATGTATACCGGTATACATGATATATACTGTACTCAGTGTTGGTTAATGTGTGTAGGTAGATCTACATGTACATATATATGATTCAATTGATGTAGTTATAGTTTGGGAATTGTCCCAAATTTCAGATATAATGCTTTTGTCATGTCTTGTACTGTACATGTACATACAGTGTACTGTAGTATGCTATGCACAGCTAATGGCCTCAGAGTTATTTTTGCTTTGAGACAGTAAATTTTCCATATTCATTCAGACACTATATACCTACCATCAATGATCCATTGGGAGTGACACATTAATTTTAGTATAATGTCAATAATATTACTGCTTTATATTTTCATTTCTGAGAATTAATGATTACAACATAATTTTTTGTGCTGAATTTTAATTTTAGATAAAAACACCTGAAGGAAATTCCCCACTATATACTACCATCTCCTGTCCAGTGTCAGATATGACACTATATCATAGATACATGTACATGTATTCATTGATTCATTGACAGTATTACATGTATATAGTCAGTAGTGGGAGTATAATAATAGAACAATATCAATGAGTAAATATCTTTACATAAAAGGACTTGTAATGAGTACAAATTTCCACTTGATTAGATTCATTCCTTATTAGTCTCACATAGCCAGTCCCTCCCTCTACAAAGCAAGGGTCTGGTCTATTACCATACATTACCTCATTCATCTTTCAACCTTACTTCTGGTAGAACTAAGTACACTAAACATTGAATAACCTCATGTGTATATTATGAAGATTGAAAGCTCCTTTTTGGGCCAGTATTAATTATACTAAGCATAATTGAATTTCCTGGAATTTAATTATTTACAAATTGTGTTAGATGATGCATGAAATCCACTAAATTAGGAATACCAGTAAACATTAGTCCAGTGTATTGTAGATAGTATAATGTGTTATCATAACAATGTCAGTAATGGGACCCTCATCTAGTAGTGTACCGTATATCCTTAAATAGAAGCCATATTCGAATAAACGCCAGGGTAGCAATGCAATTCAAGTATAAATACACAACACTAGCCCAAGAGTAACTCAGTACATAGGCGGCTGCAGGCCCAGGCATGCCCAGGCTATGCCTGGGTAGCTTTCAATCAAAACCACACCCAAAAGGTGTGTTTTGTTATTATTAGGAGTGCACTGCAAAAACGATGGTGGGTTATACCCACCATATCTGTGGAAGGTACCCACTTTTTGGTTTTCCACCAATGTGGGTGAAACCCCCTGGTGTTATATTCCCCCCTTTGGTGGAAAATACCCACCATCAATGTGTAATAATTACACTCATAATAATAATGTAATAATTAATCTAGTAATGCCACGCCCACTGCGCATGCGCAGTTCAGTTCCAAATTAATCCAGCTGCAAGCCTGCAAATGGCTTCCTTCTCTTTGTCCTCCATTACTGCCAGTCTATTTTTTGGCCGTTTAGCTCTTAGTTTTGCCTCTGTATTCTTTGAAATCCCCAGAAAAGTATGGTACTACTTCTGTTATGTATTTATTACGATAGTTTTGCTCATTTTATTGTAGTTATCTCATTTTCGAAGCCCGCTTCCATGTCAGCAGCTATTTCTGTGACTCTTCCTTCAGGCTGTCCCCTTAGGTTATGATTTGTGTCTAGACTGATTGAGTAAGACTTGATATTGTTGTTATAAAACTCTCATGACATGGCATGCTAATAATCAATATAAAAGTACTCTCACTCTCTGCTTTCTCTTTTCCTCTAAGACTACCAATAGCTGTGTTCAAAATGGATTGCGTCCATACAAGACTTGCTTATTGATTTTGTTTTGATGTGGTAAAAATTTTATTAGTTGCATGCTTAAAAATTCATCTCCCTTTTGTTTCTCTTCTGCGGCTTCTTTTTTCTCGTTGCCTCCTCCTTTCTCTCTCCTCTGCTTTCTCTGTCGCCACCCCCTACCTCAGTATAGGTTTTAACTTCTTTTCAAGTGAATTGTATCTGATTACATCATTTTTTGATATGGTAAGCATTGTATTAATTGCTTGAAATTTTATCTCTTTCCTCCTCTTCTATCTCTCCTCCTCTCTCTGTCTCCTCCTTTCTCTGTCTCGTCATTTCTCTGTCTCTGTCCTATACCTGTAGGTTTTAACTTCTTTTTAAGTGTATTGTGTCTCTGAGTGTACAAGACTGTATCATTTAATTTTGTTCACATAGATGGTAAACGTTTATTATTGCTTAAAATTTATCTGCCTCCTCCTCTTTCTCTCCCTCCCTCTCTCTCCCTCCCTCTCTTTCCCCTACCTTTAGGTTATGTTCAAATGAATTGTGTCTGATTACATGGCTTCCTTATTGAATATTTTTTTTGACATGGTAAGCGTTTTATTACTTGCTTAAATTTTTATCTCGCTCCT